GAACAAAACAGACAAAATCTTTCTTCTTTTAGGGATAATATTCTAATCGGAAGAGATAGACCATGAACTCATAAATATGTAAATGTCAGGAGTCAGATGGTGACAGGGGTATTGAGGGAAATGCAAGCAGGCTGGGGAGTGCTGGGCATGAGGGTGGGTTGCTAATTTACATGGGGCATCTGGGAAGCCCTCCCAGATAAGGTGACATTTGAGCAGAAACATGAACGAAGTGAAGGGATGTGCAGCACAGTTATCCCCAAAACAGGCAATAGGAAGTGCAAAGGGCCTGAGGTGAGAGAGTGTGCTCAGTTTAAAGGAACATCAAAAAAGCCAGGGCACAAGGAGAATAGTAGGAGAGAAGCTCAGAGAGGTAAAGGTAAGGATTGGGAGATAGAGCTCATGTAGGGCCTTGTACGCCATTGGCTAGATTTTTGCTTTCATTCCAACTGAGCAGAGAAGACAGTAAAGTCCTCTGACCAGAGAACTGGCATGATCTCAATTTTTTAATGTAAATAATTACGGGGATTACTTAACTGGTAGGTCTAGTTACTTCTCTTTCTTCCCCATTAGATGTGGCATCGTATTCCTCTTAGGATCCCAGCATGGGGCCTGGCACATAATTGTCACTCAAAAAATGCCTGAAGATCCCCTGCTGCAGAGGCAGGCAGGAGAGGAATGGCCACAGCCTGAAGCAGGGAAAAGGCCGGGGGTGGGGTGGCAGCAGACTTCTTAATGGGAGAATGGTACCAGCACAGACACCGTGGCTTAGCGGTGGAGAGAGGCCGGAGTTTCAATCTCTGTTCTGCAGTTCACTTGCTGTGTGACCTTGAAAAAATCCTTTCCTATCTTTGGACTCTATTCCTAAAACCAGAACCCTGGGGAAGGTAATCTTGAAGGTATTTTCAGTCCTGCCTAGACTCTATAATACTTTAAAAAAGTCATGGTAAACTACAGATAACATACAGCTTACCATCTTAACCATTCTATGCTAATATTTTTTGCTCCTTCTTGTATCCTGGTGAGGCTGCACTCTATCTGCAGCTGGCGAGGCCTGTGATCACTTCCAGCAATGGCTGAGCAAAGGAGAGCCATCCCACTCACTGGGGGCAAAGGGGCAGGACAACTTGGTTCCAGAAGTGAGATCGGCAGCAACTCAGAGAAGCTGCACCCTGCACTGGAGGGAGCAGGGAAGGAATTAAGCTTGTGGAGGTGCTTCTGAGGCCCTAGGCCCTGGTGATGCTTGGCAGCTCCTTTAAGTCTTGCCTTAATCCTTTAGAGCAATATTTTCAAAAGTGTGCAATTAAGAAATTAAGGGCCCCTCCTGAGCCCAGTCTTCAGTTCATTCAGAGAAACAGCAGTGACCCCACATGATAACAAAAAAGCAAAACTCCACGACCCAGCCATATGAGATGCATAAGCCAAATCTTCACCTGTCTGCTGGCTCTTTGAACGAGGATGCAGAGGTGTATTTATTCTGGGGGGCGGAAAGCAGATCTGTGGTGGAGGCGGCATGGTGGGCTCTGGGAATAGCAGAGGTCAAAGGTACAACACTCCTCTTGCAGGCTAGCAGTGCCTGCTCCAGGATAATCTTGTCCTGTTTCTCTGCTCAATGAGGCCTAGCCTGGGCTCTGGGGTACCCAGGATACCAGGGGAGCATGAAACCCTCTGATAATTCACAATTACCCCAGGCTTCAGCAACTTTCACGTCCCATTTGAGTGCTAGATATTCAGGATATTTTACATGACTAAGCAATGTATCCAACAATTATCATGAGCCAGGGACTGGGCTAAGTGCTTTGTATTTGTTGTCTTATTTCTCATGATAGGAGGCAGAATCTATTTTACAGATGAGAAAACCGAACTTCGGAGAGGTTATGTGATTTCTCCACGGTCATACGGCTAATAAAAGGCAGAGCTTAGGAGCGCCTGGGTGGCTCAGTCTGTTAAGCGTCCAACATTGGCTCAGGTCATAATCTCACAGCTCTTGGGTTCGAGCCCCGCATCAGGCTCTGTGCTGACAGCTCAGAGCCTGGTGCCTGCTTCTGATTCTGTGTCTCTGTCTCTCAAAACTAAATAAACATAAAAAAAAAAAAAAAAAAAAGCAGGGCTGAGAATCATACTCAGGTATTTGGTTCCAGTGGCTGTACTTATTTGCTCAACAGAGTGTCCTGAGAGCTAAGCATCCACAGCCTTGGGAACCTAGGGGACGGATGGTGCTCAGTCTGGGCAGGGAGAAAAGGCTGCCTGGAAGAGGTGAGGTCTGGGCCAACCAGGAGCCGATGGGCTAAGAAAGAGGGTGGTTTGGGGTTATAGGTAGTAGGAGCTGTCTGCAGACAGGCCTTGGTGGGGGGTGGGAGGGGGAAGGAATATGGCTTTGTTTGCTGTAGACCACTCTAGATGTGAGTGGCAGGATGCAGGCAGAGCCCAGGTCTCGAAGGATCTCCAAATTAGACTGGATCCTGAAGACACAGGGAGAACCTTGGAGGGCTCTCAACAGGCAAGTTCACAAAAGCAGCTTTGCTTGTTGACGATGTCTCTGGCCACTGTGGGGAGGTTGCTATGTCGAAGGAAACGTGGCATACCAAACCTGGAGTCAGATGCCTTGGTTTGAATACCAGCCTTTCCACCTCAAAGTTATACAGGTTGATTTTAGCTGTCTTTGAGCCTCAGTTTCTTCATTTGTAAACAGCATAGAACACCTCGTACAGCTGTTGAGGGGAGTACAAGTCTAAATGAGATGTTTAGCAGAGTTGTATCTTGGCACATAGTAGATGTTCAATAAATACATGTCTGCTCTGTCGAGCAGAGCCATGCTTTCGGATGAAAGAACACTGTACCTTTTTGACTTTGCTCTCTGCCAGCCTCCTTTCATTGATTGCCGGGGGCCAGAATCTTATCAGAGACTTTTACATTATTTTGCCCAAGGTCTTTCCGGTTTTAAGAGAGAGAATGCTCACAAAGTGCTTACCACAGACCAGGCCCACAGTAATCACCTCATGCTTGTAGCTATGATTAAGTTAGAAAATGAAACAAGTTTAGAGAATAGCAATTAAGCAATTATCAGTTATCACTAGTGTAAATAAGAGGCCCAATTCTTTCCTGGGAACAGGTTTTGACTGGGGAAGGAAGTCTGAGATCTCAAAACATGGAAGGAGACTCTGGGGGAAGTGAACCACATGGGAATTTTTCCTGGATCCAGTCATGCCTGGGGAAGAGCAGAAGATTCAATTCTAAATCACCAGGAATAACAAACCCAAATGGTTTAGGATTCCAATGCATGAAGTAATTCCTGTCTTATAGTCTGGAGATGGGGGATGAGGCATTTGGAGCTAGCAGGGACTGTCAGGAATTAAGCACCCACTATGTGTAGAGCTTTATGTGAATTAGAAAAGAAAAAAAAAAAAGGAAGGCAGCAAGGAGCAGTATAGCAGGAGTCATAACCAAATGCGAGTTTGGACTCTGTCAACTACACCTCTCCAGGTAACTTTGGGAAAGTCTCTCGTAGGTTTTGAGCCTCAATTTTCTCAGCTCTTGTGTTGTGTGATGGTGTTGAGCCTTTCTGAGCCTCAGTTTCTTTATCTGTAAAATGGGTACTACCTATCTCACAAGACTGTACGAGATAATGAATATGAAGTGCTCTGTGCCTGGTAACCATTACTAACGGGATCATTCCATTGATCCCTGTGATTCCTTTCCACTCAGTCACCTGGGCCGAGGACAAGGCCCCTGCCTTGGGGTGGGGGTGGGGGGTGGGGCTGGGTGGTCTTGGTGGGTCCAGGGGGAAGAGAAGGACAACTGTCACCCTGGCATAGGGCACTGCGGAGCTGCTGCTGGTCGGGAGGCGCTCCAGTCACGGGCCAGGCCTTGGAAAAATCCGTCCACAGAACCCTCCGTCCAGGGTGCCGAGTAGATGAGGGTCGGATCAGATCCCCAGCAACTTGGGAGTCGGCAAGGGTCTTCCAGATGCAGGTGAAATTCAGATCCAGGCTTGCCTCTGCCCCTTCCTGGCTGGGTGACCTTGGGCCAGTCACTTTTCCTCTCGCGGCCCCAAGGTGCTCTGGAAGTGAGGCTCCTCATTCCACTTAGCCCTCAGAGTGTCCTAGGGCGAAGTGTCGACACAATGGACTCCAGCTGCATTAGGGGCCAGCGAGTGCTACTTATTATGCTAATAGATGCACGCAGCGGGTTCCTTTCCAGAGGTTTCACTCTGGTTAAGCGGTTCCTTCCACTGTAACCGAGGTTTCTCGCCTCGCTGCCTCCCGCCCCTGCGGTCAGGGCTCTGCGGACCGCAGGCTCCAGGGCCGTTGCCATTGTTCTTGGAGGCTGGGCGGCAGGGGAGGGTTCTGGCGGACCAGACCTCGCCTTTGGTCTCTGCCTCCAACCCGCACCCCCGCGGCGGCGAGCCTGGGAAGCCCCTCTCGCCGATCTTTCCCGAGGAGGCGAGTCAGCCCCAGAATTCTCCCGAACGGCGGCCGAAGACGCCCCCGAGCGTCTCCGAAGAATCCCGACCGCTCGCAGTCTCCGGAAAGAGCCGAAGGCGCTTCCCACCCTCGGCCTCCCGAGCCTCTCCGAAAAGGCCCGAAGTTTTCCGAGCGGCCGTCCTGCCGGACTGCTGGAGGCGGCCGCAGCGCCATGTTGGATGCTCTGCTCGTTGAGTGAAGAAAATCCGCCGGCATCGCCTGAGCCCCGCTACCGAGAAGGGCGCCGCTTCCCCCGGGGAGGGGGATAAAGACCCCCCGCCGCCGGCCCATGAGGATATTGCCGTGAAAGGTCCGGTCTCTCCGCCTCCTGCCCCCGCCGGGTCCGGCCCCCCCCCTGGGGTCGCGTTGTCACGGAGACCGGCAGCCGGTGGTGCTGGCCCGCGGGGCGGCTGCTGCTGCCGGCGGCGGCGGCGGCGGCGGCGGCGGCGGGCGTGTGTGACCGGCCCCGGCCCCCTCCTCCTCCTCCTCCCAGACTCCCCCCGGCCCCCCGCTCCCGCCGCCTCCCCGGGTCTGCCCCCATCCCGCCCCCCCGCTGCCCCCGGCCCCTGCACCCCGGCGCGCCCGGTCCCGCTCTGGGGGGGTTGGTGGCTTCGCTTTGCCATGAGTTTACCGCAGAAACCGGCTCTGAAATCAGGCTCAGCGGCTGCAGCAGGAACCGGACCCGGCACCGGAGCGGCGGCGGCGGCGGCAGCAGCAGCGGTACCGCCTCCTCACCCGGCGGCAGCAGCAGCGGCGGCGGCGGCGGCGGCGGCGGCGGCAGCGGCCCCTCCTCACCCGAACATCAGGGCCCTCCAGACCCAGGCGCCCCAACAGTATCCTTTTCACCTTCCTGCCGGCCCTTCGGCTCGTCGCCGCAGCCCAGGGGGCTGTGTCTCCCCGGGGACCTTCCTGCCGGCCGCCACAGCCCAGCCAGGGAAGGGGCTGTCGCCCGAGCCCCTGCAGCCGGCTGGGCGGGAGCTTTTGGGGTGCCCCGGCGGCAGCAGCACTGCGGGGACCCCTGGACCCTCTGCAGTACTGTGAAAACTAGCTCCGCTCGGCCTGGTCTGCAGCCCTTCTCTTTTAGAGCTGGGGGACCCTTCCCCCTCCTCGCCTCCCCCCGCCTTCCCCTCCTTGCTTCCCCCCCTCGCCCCCCTTTTATTAGGCCGAATTTGCTGGTGCCTGGGACCAGCCCTGCAGGGAAGGCTTTTCTCTGATTGTTGTGAGGACTACACCCCCGCCCCCTCCTCCTCCTCCTCCTCCTCCTCGACCACCTCCTCCACCACCACTACCTCCGCCACCTCCTCTTCCTTCTCCTCTTCTCCCTCCTCCACCAGCACCACGACCTCCTCCTCCTCCTCCGTTGCCCTTCTGCTCCCCTGCAGCGGGGCCTGGTGGGCTTCACTAGTTATTATTAGTACATAATAAACTTTATTGGTAAATTTCCTGTTTTGAAACTAAGCTCAGCTCTTTTCTGAGGTAAGTTGGATTTTAAATCTATGGTGAAAATGTACGGAAAGCACCCCCTCCGGCCAATGTTTAGTGATATGGGGGGGGGTTGTGATGTGGTTTGTGGTGGAACGCGATCTGAGGAGGAAATGTTACACCGGACGCTTCCCTGTCTTTGACCTTTTTAAAGGAAGAGGAAGTTAACTGACATTACCCATCACCCCTAAAAGTCTCACTTCTTGGAAGGCTTGCGTTATAATGGATATTTTTAAAGACTTTAATTTCCTTTTAGGCCTGATGTCTAGAGGGGATCAGGGCTCCTGGAGGAAATTCTAGTATTGAATGTATCTAATTTCATGTTATTTGCTCGATTGTAGAATTTTGGGGCAGCTTTGATTGAAAAGACTTGATGACGAGGTTATTTTAGTCAGAAACTAGCCAGTGAAGGTAAAGCGTTGAGTTGATGAATTCCACGGAGATTTAGAAAGGTATTACCTACCCGAGAATAACATTTCATCATGCACCTCCCTCCCCCATCCGTTGTATTCGCGTAAATCAGTAAATGGCCATTGGATGTTAGATGTGTTGTGTTTGTATTTGTGTTATTTTGTGTTTGACTTCCAGAGATAGTAGGGTGTTAGAGCACATAACTGCTGTGAAGTCCACCGATGATTTCACAGCCTGTAGTTTGACTCCTGTCTGTATCGATTGCTTTGAGAAGGGAAAGGTATCTCCCTTCTAGAGTCATTTCAGGTCATCCTTTTGGTTTGTGTCAAGTGTCGTTTTCTCTGTTCTTTAAATATTGTTATTCAATCCAGGCAGTGTGGCGCAGAGTAAAGATGAATTCCATTCCAGTGTGATGTGTGTACTGATTTCATAATGTTTTTATTCTGCATGATTCTGTTCAATTAAGAATTTTTCACGGTTGAGAATGCTAAGTGATACCTAAGTGTTGCTCATGGGTAATCTGGTTAGCTTTGATCAGTATCCCTAGTCGCTTTACACTTAAGGAAAAAAAGATTGGCTGATTTGCCTACTTCAAGGTGGAGCTCAGTGCCGGATCTCTTAAATATACCTTCATTTAGTGAGTTTGAATTCCTTTCCTTTTTTTTTTTTTTTTTTGTTTTTTATTTTTCCCACTTGGTTAGGGTTATAAGCTTATGCACTATGCCACCAAAGTAAATTCTTCAGTACCTGTAAATTGGAGCTGTTTTGGCAATTAAGCATTGAAAGGAAGCCCATGGTGTGTTCTTGATGTACTAAAGTGATAAGTAAGGACCAGTGCTTGGTGAATTTGGTGTTGTTACTTGGACACAAAGAGCTGTGCTTAGGTGTTTCAAATGTGCTTTTTCTCAAGGCATTTCACAAAGGAAGGACTTAAAAAAGCTCTGAGTTGGTTGCAACATAAAAGTAGTTACTAATACCGCAACAGTTGTTAAAGGGTTAGAGGGCATAAATTTAAGATGTAATTTCCAATGGAATAGCTGATTTTATGTGGCTTAAAGTTTTTACTTTGCTTCATGTCAGAAGAAATTAAGATTCTTGATGTATTTCACAATTCTGTTCTCTTTTTTTTCTCTTTATGCACTGAAAGGTTTCAATTAGTAAAATCTAAACGCTTGTATAGTAAATGAGGTATAGGTTACAGGTTTCATTTCATTAGAACATAAAGATGAAATGTTATCCATGGTAATGGGGAATTGGTTAAAATGGATTCGAATAGAGCAGTGCTGCTTTTCTACCCTGAGGGAGTGTGGGAATTTGTATTTGACAAGAGTGGCCATTATGTGATAAGTTGACACACACCAAAACATTGAGACTGGAGTGCAAAGCCAGAGTTGCTCTTTCTGTGGCTTGGTTAAATCTCCAGTTCCTCGGAATATATGGGTGCAGTTCTGTTTGAATTGAATTAATAAGTTCGTGTAGTATTTTATATTTATAAAAATACTGAAAGGAGATTCACCTGACAGAGTGTCCTTCATTTGTACTTAGTGTTCAAGTGACAAATCAGAAATGAAGGGAAATGTTGGCAATAATGAATTGAATATAAACGGACCTGCTCAAGTAGGCCTTGTTCTTACGTGGCAGGCCCAGAAAACCACTGCAGGTATGGGCGTGTGACTGCAGAGAGGCAGGGAATGGGGTTGGGAAGGAATGGGAAATGGTGGAGGGTAGCAGGGATGGTGGGGGATGAAAGGATAAACCCTGCTGTGAAAAGTGCTACTGGTGAGGGAGGAATATGCTTAAAAGTTTTTATGACACAATCCAGTATGAATAGTTTATGAAATTGGCACTTCAAGATACTTGCCTTGAGATGTGCTCAACTCAACTTCCTCATATGAGCTTCCCAGAAGCTCCATTGAGCATCTTAAAAGTGATTCTTAACCTTTTCTGGGTAATAAACAACTTTGACATTTTTGATGAAAGCATATAGACCTCTACACAGAAACTGTTGCTTACATTTTCAGGGGGTTCTTGCCCCCCCCCCCCCCGCCAGAATCCTTGTCCTTTAGATGAAGATTGCTTACCCTTCAGATAATTAAAGGTAAATGAATTTGAATTTAAATGCCCAAATAGTTCTGACTTAGAACAATTTTGAGGCTGTTATGAATACACAGTGTTCTATTTATATGGAAAGGCTTCAGGGTGTAATTTCTCCCAGAGCTGCTGACACTTCTGGGGAGTCTAGTTACTGTTTTAGAGCAGCCAGTTTGGTTAAGAAAATGAGGGCAGTGGGTTCTTTGAAGGAACTAGATTTGGTAAAGGCCTCTGGCAACTCCAAAATGACATATATTAAAAACAAATATGCCCCTTGGCTTTTTGTTTTCTGTGTTGATTTTCAATTTTATAGGTTGAAGCCAATAACATTTGTTTTTTTCTTTTTTGCTTCTTTATCAAAGCTAGATCTGAGTAATATTAATAATAGTATTCCTTTATCGAGTGCTACTCTTCTAGGCTCCATACATGCATAATTTTACTTAATTCTCACAAGAATCCTGCTCACGCTGTCTCTGTCTCTCTCAAAAAAAAAAAAAAAAAAGAATCCTTATGAGGTAGATAGTGTCTCTATTTTACAGATGAGGAAACTGAAGAGCAGAAAAGTTAAATAATGTTCCCAAGGTTGTCCATCTAGTAGGTGGTGGCCCACAGTTCAGACCCTGCATAGTATGACCGGTTCCAAAGCTCACAAGTGTCCTTTCTGCTGTGCCACGTTGCTTCCTTTTTTTTTTTTTTTTTAACTGCTTTTTTTATTTATTATTGAGACAGAGAAACAGAGCATGGGTGGTGGAGGGGCAGAGAGAGAGGGAGACACAGAATCCTAAACAGGCTCCAGGCTCTGAGCTGTCAGCACAGAACCTGATGCGGGGCTCGAACCCACCAATGGTGAGATCATGACCTGAGCCAAAGTCGGATGCGTAACCGACTGAGCCACCCAGGCGCCCCATGTGCCATCTTGCTTCTTACCACGTCTGCGAATGAGAGTGGGAAGTGGCTAGGGGAAGGTCTCTATATGGTAAAGAGGCTCTGAGGAGTAATCTAGACCGGCATGGTACTGTACCTTATTTTAATTAGCTCATAGCCACATACTGCTAGACAAGTAGCTTATCTTTACCTCACTGAGCCTTGCAGTACTGTAAGAATAGGCCTGCCACATTTGACTCAGTGCCTGTTTCTGCTTGTTCAGAAGTTAACAAGGCCTCCAGCAAAATACCGTAGTAACTAGCAACCAGAACCCTAAGTCATGAGGTGGCCAGCAGTCTCTCTATTCCTTAGCCCCACCACCAACAGAGATGGATATGTGGTCCTAAAGGGCAGATCCTCTTCTAGGAAGAAGAGGGGGAGACTGGTGCAAGATGAAGATGCAGAAGGAAGAACATTACTTAGACGCCTGAGTCACATTGGCTGTTGCCTCCACCGCTGCTGCTCTCTGTCGTAGGCTTACAGGTCTTAAAGTGAAGTATTTTCTGTCAAATGGAGATGAAACCACCTAAGAACTGATATGTTGGTTTTCCACATTGGGGTTTTGGTAAGATTTTACAAAAAGGCCTGCAGCTGAAAAGTATTTGAAAACCATGTTTTGTTATTTTTGTTTTTTACGTTTACTTAGTTTGAGAGAGAGCTTGCTTGTGTGCAAGCAGGGGTGGGGCAGAGAGCAAGAGTCGGACACTTAACTGACTGAACTACCCAGGTGCCCTGAAAACCATGCTTTAAATCATAATAGGATTGCCACGTTTTAACCATTTCTATTGGGGCTTTAACGTAAGTGGCAAGTTTTAAAATTCATTTGTTCATTTATTGAGCACCTACTGTGTGCCAGACTCAGTGCTAGATCTAGATTTGAAAGGCTTTTGACTTTGAAGAAGTTGGTCCCAACAAGTGAATGACA